TCGGTTTCCCCGCACCAACGAACATACAAAACGAGCATATCCCCGATACAAACTCTGCAAAATATAAAAGTCCTAATTGGGCTAACTTGTCAACAAGCATACAAATAACACAAGTTAAATATTCAGAGCAAAACGACCAATGGACAGAAAAATAAATAAAGCGACCACTTGGGCCGAAATTGTATGAATATTACATAAACGGGCAACAGCCCCAGAGATAAAAAATATTACAAAAATGGCACGCAGGCCGAAACAAATACACAATCACCCCTCCGCTTCTCCTTCGACCATAGGCGACAATCAAACATGATCCCCAGCCGATTGATCCATAATATCCCTCAGGTAGTCAGGAACCAGAATCTGACCGTCAGCCACGTAGTAGTTGACCCCCATGCCCGAAGTGTTAAGCTCAACACCGGGATTTAACACACGCATCTGACTCACCGTGTTGTCAAAGCTCCCCTCGGAAGCGGCCTGAGCATCGTCCACGTCCAGTTGGAAATGGACAACTAATTCAACCTGAATCTTCAAGTCCTTGGTGTCCTCCAGATCGTCCTCAACAGGCGCAATCTTGGCAGTCAAGGCCGCTACCTTCCCCCTCGAGACTCTTTCTCTCAAGCATAAGAGCACTGTGCTCCTCGAATAACTTCCCCAATTCTGCCCCAGCCAGCTTTAGGGCTTTGTCTTTATCGACCAAGGCCTTCTCGGTCGCCACCAACTTGGCCCGGAGATTCCTCATTTCTATCTCTTGGGATGAACTCCCCTCAGTGTACGCGACAGCCATATCCAAGATTCTCATCAAACCACCCGCGTCTTGGTCCAGCGTCACCCTCTTCTCCGTACGAATCGTTCCCTCGAGAAGAAGAGATTCAACCGTAGGAAGACGAAGAGTCGCGCCATCGAAAAAAGACCTCTCCAGCCAGCAAGGAGGCAGATCATAAGTCCCTTTTCCCGTCTCCCTGGTAAGGTCAACGCTCCCCTCGGGACAAGGTCTCTTCGTCTTCGAAGAGACAACAGCAGGAGACAGGGCAACTGTGGCCGGAGTCGAGGATGATCCACTTGACCCAGGAGCAGGAACTTGCCCCGCGCTAGTCTGAGCATCCTTCTTACCCTTTCTCGCCCGAGCAGTAAGTGTCTTGGCCAAACATTCCTGGGCAGGATTCATATTTTCTGTAAAACAAACAAAAAAGAGAAGAGTCGGTAAAACGACGAGTCAAACAAACGACGACCATACTGGAAAAGAAAATATATACCCAGAAATCTAATGGGATCCTCGCTTCCGAGGAGCTCCCTGACGTTTATGAGACCCATATCAAACACGGCCCCCCCGTTTCTATCAAGCACTGGCCTACCTCCCCGACCGACTCACTGGACTGGAGGATTTCGAGCTATAAACAAAGTCAGAGTGGCGAAGCTCTCCAGGTCCTCGTCCCCAAGCTCCCCCTCTCTCCAAACGTAGGAGCTCAATTCTCGCTCAAAGTTCCTGCTGGTCCATTGAAACAAGAACTTGCAAATCAACATCGCGGTAGGCTCCCCTAGCTCGTTCACACGAGGAGTCCCATCCTCGTTAAGCAACGGCTTGGTCCTGAAAACACTCAACATTGCCTTCGTTGAGGAGGGTTGTACCAAGATATATTTATCCTTAAAATAGCGGACATATTCCATATAGGCCTTAAACAACTTCTTGTTGCCTTGTTTGAGGGAGACCCATCCCCACCTTCCGACGGTCCTACTCCTCTGGATATGAAAACAATAGAAAAACAACAGAATCGTGGCCCCGGTCCTCAGATAGTCGCACATTATCTAGAACACTCGCACGAACGCGATGCTGTTCGGGTGCAACTGAGAAGGAGCCACTTGCAGATGCTAGAAAACGGCTACCTCGAAGTCGGTGAAGGGAAGGCGGAAACCCATCTCTCGAAAGATGATATCATACATCGGGATTCGTCTCCCATCGTACCTCAAGCATATCCTGTTGTCCTTCCCCGGGATATACAACGACCATTCCCCCGGGCCCCCCTCCTCGCGGATATACACATCAGTGAAAACTTCCTCCCCGTGTTCATAGAAATACAACTGCCACTCCCAGGGGTCTTTTACGACCCATTCCCGAGGGTCCTCGTCATCTCGAGGAGGAAATAAGTTGTTGTTAACTATAGAGGACGCCTCCGTGTTAGGCTCTCTCATCTACTGATCCGGCACGTCCCCAAAGACTTCAAATATGCTCGACGAGTTACTGGTCTCGCTCGAAATAACGACCTGATCATCGTGAGCCATGGCACCTGAAAAGCAGAGGAAAACAATGAGCTCGAGATCACTTCCAGAACCACCCTTCCACCGCTAAACAAGCGAAATGGTGGGAAACGAGGATCGCATTCCCGACCAGAACCATCACTGAGGCACTCTAATAGGCACAGGTTGCAGAAAAAATCCTAAGCCCTACATGAGCCGCGTACGACACAACTCCAAACCTCCAATGAGAGCCCACGACAGCCCCAACGGTCATACGCCACGAAAATAACATTCGCCACCGTGAGTTTCTAACGATCCTAACGGAACCCTAATCCTAAAGGCATGCATCTCTATGAAGTAAGAAGCGAAAATACGAAAAAGAGCAACAATGACAGATCAGGAACTTACCAGCGGAAGAATAGGAGGTGAAACTAGATGGCAACGAACAAAGAAACTGAGCGAACAACGGTGGTCGACTTTCGAGCTAATGCGAGCAGATGAAAGAGAAGGCGAAAAATACTAAACGCCCTGTTCCTCTCGTATTTATAGTTGAAGTAGCCCGCGCGTACGAAACATGCGCCCGGGGAACCCTATGGTCGTCATAATGACACCCTAGCCCTAGGTCATGATTGGGCCGCTTTGCAGACACGCTTCCCGAAACACATTACCTCTCAAAATTCAAAATTTCCAACGGCCAAACGCCTCATCTCCCCGGTAAACTCGCCCGTAAGACACGCCTCGTTATTCGAGAAAATGTCAAAGTTATCACTCCTGTGCCCAGAAGCGACGACTTGGGGAGCTACTGTTCTGGACTGGCCTGACGGCTTGATTGGCCCAGTCCAAAGATCTCCACGGGTCGAGCCCACCCGATCATAACCCGGATCGCCCACATGGCTATACCCCCTATCGGGCAACGACAACTATTTTCCCTCTCGAATCAGCACTGATTCAGGATGACTGACGAACATCCTCTCAGCCTGCCCGACATCAACGTCGTACGGGTCACCAGGAATCAACCAGAGAGATGCCCACAACTAACCCCCTTATCGGGACCAACGGCTAGTTACGAGCACATCTGCCCGGTTTGACCAAGTCCTAGCAGTTACCTGATTTCACGGACCCGCATATCTAGGCGTGAAATTAGGAACCAATGGCCACGTGTCAGGGACATTATATAAATCCTCACACCTGTGAGGCCCAGGTATCACATATTCACTACTCACTACCTGATATTTCTGTTTGTACCTCCCTGTTCCCGCTCTTACATGATCGTTGGAGTGCCTTACAAATACAATCCCCTTTTTTCTCTTCAACATACCTCCCGACTGAAGATCATCCTCCACCACTCTTTAAATTCTGAATAACCGTCAAGATCATATATATATATATATATATATATATATATATATATATATATATATATATATATATATATTCCTTTGTGTTAGTTATTTATATGATTTTAGTGTTTAGTCTATTTTCTTATTATAAAAAATTCAATCTAATTTTTTATTTTATTTTGTCATCATTACTATTTGATTTAATAGATTAATTAATCGGATTCAAAAGTCTATTTTAATATTAAATAGTTGCAACCATTTTCGATTACAGTTGTGAGATTAAACAGTAGTATTTTCTATTAAATTCAACATTAATTATCTCTAAATTAATTAATAATTTATAAAATAAAAATAAGTTTGATTTAAATCTTTTCATAATTTATAAGCATGGATAACATAAGTCGATCTATTTACACCCTAATTATTAGGAGTGTAAAAGCTAAACTAATAATAATCTCATAAATTTCAAGATTTAAGTCAAATTAATTAAATTAGTTTAGATTCTTTCTATGTATAGATCCAAACCCATCAAAACCAATATAATCTAGCCTATATTATATAGGTATCAATTTTAAATAGTAAAAAATCCATCATTTAAAAAAAAATCCATAATTTGAAATTTAGCATATAATCGAATACACGTGTAAAATAAATTACATCATGTGTACAAATTTGTTAATCTCATAAAACATTATCTTACCATTTATGTTTTCTATTCTTTAAATTATATTTAAAACATACTACTTCTATCTTTATAAGATTCTCTTAAGTTTTTTTTTTCCTTGTCTTTTTTATAAGTTTCCTTGTCTTTAAAACATTAATTATTTCTCTCTTTTATATATAAATTTATAAAATTATATAAAATAGTCAAAAAAAATTGTTACTCTAATAAATTTTCTTAATTCTTATAATTTACTTTCTCAGAGCTTTATATTTAAGACGAAGTAGTAATTAATAATTGAAAATTCTATAAAATAATCTACCATATATTTTTCATTAGTAAAAAAAGTACTAATAAAGTTATAAAACATAGAAAATCTGTAGCCGCAATCACCTATAGCTGCACCAACACGCAATTTCACACTGTAAACTATCCTGGCCGTTTAATCCGTTTGATCTATATCAGACAGTTGATATTACACAGTTAATTTCAGTCGTCGATTCAGATCAAACGGCGGAGACGCAATCTTATGTGAAACAGTTAACGCGTCTGATCCAATTCCGAAAATCACTCAATTTCTGTTTTCAACATTTATGACCGAGACTATTCATTCATAAATTTTCTTGTGAAGGGAATCTTTTCTTGCAGAATCTGAAGAAATATAATCATTACCAAAATCAACAAATTTTCTCACACTATACCACATTCTTGCTCCGAGAATTTCGATATAATCAATAAGTGCGATTTTTTCTGAAAATTGTATTCATATGTCGCCCACAAGACAAACCAACAACAATACGATGATGAGTCCAAACGTTGTTGTTCCGAACCATAGTAGTAAGATTTTTGTCGGAGGATTGGCTTGGAAAACCAAAACAGACACACTGAAAAGCCATTTTGATCAGTTTGGTGAGATTCTTGAAGCTGTTGTCATCATTGACAGAGCCACCGGAAAATCAAAAGGATATGGCTTTGTAATTTTCTCTTAATCTCTTTCTTTATTCTAATTCCAAATTTTTTTTCTGTGGTTATTTTATTTTACTTTGTTTCTTGTGTTAGGTTACTTTTAAGGATCCAAATTCTGCTATAATAGCTTGTCAGAATCCTAATCCCGTGATTGATGGAAGAAGAACTAATTGTAATCTTGCAACTCAAAAATCCAATCCATCATCATCAATAGGTGATTACTGTTTTGTAATTCTATAATTTCTTGATCATTGCTTTGTAGTAATTCTGATTTATTTTACTGTTTTTTCTTTTTCTTAGGAAGAAGGAATCTCAATAGTCCTTCATGGAACAATGCACCATTACAATTTTCAAGCTCCTCTAATTATTATTATTATTATAATCAACTACCTCAATATCCATATCCTTATCCAGTTTACAGGTACACAATTCAAACATATGAAATTTATTAGTATAGGTAGTCTGATACTTCATATTGAAAATGTGTCTGGTATTCTACTTCATATTAAAAATGTGTCTGATATTCTAATCCGTGTATGATACTATAAGTGCGGGACGTTTACACTACCTATACACATGTAATTACATTCAATTATTTCATTATCAGGTACCCTTACCCTGGATATCTTCGCCCACAAGACATTTATGGCATGGTTAGTTTAACAAGTGATTCATTTTCTTTTAAATCAGTTTTAGATTCATGGAACTAAATTGTTTTGTTATGTGTGCAGAACTATCTTAATGTACATGGTGGACCACAATTTCCAGTTCCTCCGTTGTATCCAGATCCACTATGTTACCAACCATTTTATGGGCATAGTAAGCATTTAGTTTCAACATCATATGGGAAAAAGACACATTTCCCTGGACCTATTACTAGCACTGGTTGGTTACTTGGTTTTACTAGTATATCTAATCAATATTATGATTTTGTTTTGACTAAATTTCTTGAATCATAACTGATTTATAATCAATATTGTTTGCATTTGATTAAAACAGGAGTAGTCACAGAAATAGGAGCTGCAACAAGAGTGGTGGAATCTCCCAAAGATCAAACATCTTCAAATTAAAGAGAAGTTTCTTCCATCAATTGACTAGAAGAAAGAAAGCTAAAAGAAAATAAAGTGCAAAGTTTGAAGAAAATGTTCAATGATTTGGTTTAGCAAAGTAACTATAGATAGCAAGAACATATTGAGGTGATTTTAGAGAAAATAAATCAGAATTTCTTGAAACTTCTGCTCTAGTTATTTTTGCTTACCTTTTTTTTGCTACATTATAATATTATTATTATCATTATCATTATTATTATAGTTTATAGATAGATATTGTAGAATGCTCAGCAATTTTAACTTCTAATTGACGAATTGTTTTTTTCTTTTTTTTTAAATTTTATAAACGAACGTGTTGAAAAACTTTCACTTTACCGTGTATGTTATTATTGCACAATCTTAAAGTACTATAATTGTGTAACAATAAAATATTATTGATACGTTAATGATTTGTATACATTATGACAATTAATGATTTAATTATCATAATTAACTCTATGTCGATGAGAATTAAGTCTATTAATATTAAATTGTGTAAAAAGATCGTTAAAAAACGTGTAAATAGAATCAAATATATTCTGATAGGATTGCGCGCTACGGACATTTTTAGAATTTTATCACAGGCAATATTTACTTCCATGTATAAGTAATAACTTAAAATACAATTTGTTCCTAAAAATAAACAATAGTACATAATATGATCATGTATTAGAATTTCTCTTCCTTAATTTATTGCACAATTCTCTAAAATGTATCTGAAGATTTTAAAAATATCAGTATAGTTTTTCTTACCTACAATTTTGTCTTGTATTTTAAATATTATTATTTATTAAACTTTTAAATATTATTAATTTTTTTATAGAAAACAATGTTATTATAAATTATTTTAAATTAATATTAGTTAAGTACAATTTAAAAAATTATAAAATGCAAGATTTTATGTATTATTAAATTATTTATTTATTTTAAAGCCTAAGGATATATATTTTTTTAATTTTAAATCTCATTATTTTAAAATGTTAGTTTATTTAATAAATATTGTAATTTTAAAATTTTGTTTATTGTAAAAAAGTAAGAGGAATGATATTCTTATTTCAAAAGTAAGTTTATAAGGGTTAAGATTTAGAGTAACTCTTATAGATTTATTTTTGGAATAAAAATATCTCTCCTCAAAAAATAATACTTTAAAATTATAATATATTAGAAGGAGAAAACAATCATTTTAGAAGGAACTTAACTACTCTAAATGAGAAGAAGAATCGAGATTGTCGAGATTAGCATTAAACCACTAGGAAGGTCATGCATGCTAAAGAAAAGCCAAATAAACTTATCTGAATCCTGGGAGATGATCACCACTCAAATAGATGATAATAGATTAAAAACCATTTTGTACTGATAAACAAAAAGGAACCCTTCCATTTCAAATCTCAATCCAAAACTTGATTCACACAGACTCCAACTTGATTACCAGACCAATCATGTTGACTAGGAGTGTACATGAGTCGATTTAGGTTGATATTAGCCAAAAGCATGACCCAACTCATACATAATACACTGGTTTGGATGAGGTAAAATAACCACCCGTAACATCATTGATCGGTTTAGGTAAAACCATAAAATTGTGAGTTGGATTGGATTGGGTAGCGGGTTACCCAAAAAATTTTCCTTTTTTTCTTCCTAATATAATTATAAATCACGTGTCACATTTTTCTTACTAAATAGTTTAACCTATTACCGCTATTTTTTTAAACATTAAATACATAAATCCACAATAAAATTTATCATAAACATATTTTAAAAAATCAAAGTTACATTACGGTAATACCTAGAATTGCATAAAAATACTTGCAAATTATAAGAATTATCATCAAAATAATTAAATTTAGGCATCTTAAATAAGCTAAAATCATTATTTACAAAAGAAAATACCTTCAAAAGGTTATAGTTAAAGCAGTCAAGATTAAAGACATCAAAGTTATCACTAATCAAATTATAAAAAAAGAAGTCAAAAGAATAATCATTCAATAACCCATGAGTTTTGTGGGTTGGATGTGAGTTTACCCATAACCCAATTATTTTGAATGAGTTTTTATTTTTAAAAACCGTGTTCTCCCAATAACTCAATCCAACCCATTTTTTTGGATTGGTTTGGGTGGATTTTACCGGATTTATTGGGTTTACTCAACCCATGTACACCCCTAACATTGACCAAAGATATTGATGTTGAATCGCACTATCTTTTTAAGACTAGCCTCAAACTAATCAGAAGAATCGTTAGCTTTAAAATCAAGGAGGGACACACTTTTTCATCTGGTAGACGCCAAATGAAAACCAACAAACTTATTCTATAAGGAGGAAAAAATAGCGCAGACACCATATATGAAGGATAAAATATCATATCAAAGACCAAATGTGCCCAAGATAAGTCATTAAGACTACCACATATTTGACTCCACCCACAGGAACTTCCTTTAAACCCTAATAATCTTGTTCCAAACCGTGACACACATTTTAAGAAAAGACAAGATAAATATAAGGATAATATTCAAAATAGAGTTGAGTAAGATCATGCACCCTTAAAGGATATCTTAGTGATGTCTCTACAAGTTCAATCGAATAGAAATTATGTTGACTAGTGGTTCCCATGTAGGCTATCATAGGGGGCTATCCCCTACCATTAGCCCTATGTACTTGAAGAGAGAGGTATCTTGCTTACAACGAAGAAAGTCACAAGCTAAATCTAAAAAGATAGGATCCACATTAATCTTTATGAGACAACTCTTTGAAAAATTAACATGAAGACTTGAAGCTAACTCAAAATCCATAAGAATGGCCTTGGTCGACCACAAGTTATCTACCAAATCATCCCACAAGAAAATTGTGTCATCCAGATACTACTTATATGAGATGCATAAATGCAAAAGGCCGACTTTAAACTCAGAGAAAAGATCGACATCCACAATCCTGATAAACAAACCACTAAGGTCTTCAGTCACAAGCAAGAAGAGGAGCGATGTCAGAGGGTCTCCTTACTGTAACCCCTTTTGGATACTTATTTCTTGAGTCATATAACCATTTACAAAGATCATAAGATTACCATAAAATACATAAGCATGCATTCAAGATCTCCACTTACTAATAAAACCAAAACTTATGAACATATAATCCAAAAAGCTCCAACTGGTTGGATTTGTATGCATTTTCAAAATCCACCTTAAGAAAGGTCGGTTGATTAGAGGAAATGAGGGTGACCATAACCTTAGAAATATCGGTTACCAACACTTTATCATAAAGCTTACATACATATCCCATCAAATAAATAGGTTGAAAATAACCTAATAGGCAAGGGGGTTTGACTTTAAGGATCAAGGTAAAAAAATAGAAAGAGAAAATATGGGGTAGAGATGTGAAACAATAAAATTAATCAAACATAGTCCACAATTCCTCCCTCATTAGATGCCAAAAAATAATTAAAAAATAGAAGTTAGAGCTATCAGGCCCAAGTATCTTATTTCCATCACAATGGACAATTGTCTGATTTATCTCAAAGAGCAAAAATATGGGCAGTTAGAGTAGAACTATCCTCCTCAAAGAAAATACATAAAGTCATATTGTCCAATTGAGGACAACCATCAAGAGGTTCTTGTTGTACCCCAAAATTTTCCCTCTCATTTTTCTCAAAGCATTCTTTCAAGGCTCTTCAAGTAGTCAAGACACTCAAGGGTTGACTAGTCAAGATGCACCTCCTAAACCAAAGGCCCACAACTAGGGTTTGGAGTTTCTCAAGGAAATGTGGTTTGAAAAGGTTCTAAGTGGTTTCCATGGTTCTTCATAGGTACTCAACAAAGTTGATGTCAAGTTTCAAGCCCTACATCACAAGTTTGCTCAGTCAATGGCTCAAATATTTGAAAATCAACTGTATTGGTCAAAAAGTCAACTATGGTCCATATACAATCAAGATTTTTGGTCAACATCGATATTTTTAAGTGACATTCATCATTTGATCAAGGTTTGACCATGATTCCCCAAGGAAAGTCCTCAGATCATCAAAAGTCAAGAATTGCCAAATTAGGGTTTCCTTAGGAGAAGTCAACTAAACTTTGACCAGACATAACTTTCACATGCTTCATCAAATTTTCCCCAAGAAAAACTCATTTTGAATAAAATTAAATTCACTACGTCCTTGTTTTTATTCTCAAGTCCAAAAAATACTTCATTTGGAAGATATGAACTCATACATTATAGGTCATTTTCAAAAGTCAATAAAAGACACTTTTTGTCAAGGCAACTTACATCAAGATAATGTATTCAAAAGCAAAAATGATAAACATAGATTTTAGAGGACATATTGAAGAAGTGAAAAACACAAGAAGGGGGGTTGAATTGTAAAACTGAAAATCAATGCAATGAACACGATATTTTTATCCTGGTTCGTTTGATCTCAAACTACTCCAGTCCACCCGTCAAGGTGATTTCGCCTCTCTCCAACGAGGTCTTAATTCACTATATTCAACTGAATATTACAATCTGCTTTAACAACTGCTAAAGCCTTCTTGATGCAAACCACAAACCGGTTTGTCAAGGAATCACTTTCTTACAAAGAATAGAAATCTAGGTGTGTGAATGTTTTCTACAAAACTGTTTATCACAATTGTGATACTACACAACTTAAGCTTATGGAAACTAGATTGCTAAAATAATTGAGTAAGGAATTTTGGAGCTTTTAGCAAACTGAGAGTAAGGAAGATGATGATTAGCTTTTAGGCGTGTAAATTGATGTAGAGCATTAGCCAATTCAATCTTCATTGACTTGTTTATATAGCATTGGAATTGGTGAACGTTGGAGCAATAAGTCTGATTCAATGTCAATAACAATCTTTCCTTATTAAGCAGATCTTGTCTGGAATGATGTCGTTAGTAATAACTCGTCTTGAATGCACAGTGCCGTTGCAACTAAGCGTGTTCTGGCTTTGGCTCATTCTGACGCTGCTTAAGTGCTGATGAACTATTGTTGTCTTTAT